TGGGTAATATAGTTTTTCACCAGGAATTGTGCTGTTCAAAAGAAAAAAAAAAGAAAAAAAAGTTGTTGAAATAATGCAGGCTGATAGCAGAAGAATATACCATCGATTAACAACCTCACAGCAAAGGTTTATTTAAAGAATAAAGAATATTCAATTTCCTTATGGAAAAGTATTTTTACTTCTGGAACCCGACTGTTGCACTCAATTATTAAGGGCCGTAACTGACTCTTTTCACTGTACCGCAAGTCTTTTATCGCCAATGTGTAATTCAGAAAGCACTGGGAACCATTACTGTGATGCATACCATTTTTTTCCGAAAATAGTGATATTACGTAAATTAATGTTTTAAACCAACTGTTTTTAAAGGGGACCTTTTATCATCCTTGAATGTTAAAATAACACATTATTTTTCACATATTTTACACTGTTGCAGTACCTCTCTTCCCAGTCTGTCAGTAACGCTCTGTTTAGTTCATGTCTATATGAAGCCCCTCCTTACTTTAATCTCCCTTTAAGTCATGACCGTTCTATTGTGCTTTAGTTCATTACCAGCAGAGTCAACTGGGTGGTTCAGAGCTCAGCGGTGGACTATCTCCATCTGATGCTGGTGGCCATGCGCTGGCTGTTCGAGGAGCACGACATCGACGGGCGCTTCTGCATCAGTATTCATGACGAAGTGCGTTATCTAGTGACGAGTGAAGATCGCTACAGAGCTGCACTCGCCCTACAGATCACCAACCTGCTCACCAGGTGAAGACTAACCTTTGATTCCTGGTACTTGTGGCATGACCCTGTGAAGTGCATGCTTGAATATTTATGTCCATTCTCAGGAGCATGTTTGCCTATAAACTGGGAATGATGGATCTGCCGCAGTCAGTGGCTTTCTTCAGTGCAGTGGACATTGATAAGTGCTTACGGAAGGAGGTGACCATGGACTGCGTGACTCCATCCAATCCCACAGGAGTGGAGCGGAGATACGGGTTACCCCAAGGTAAAACTCAGCCTTAAAGTCCCCCTATTATGCTATTTTAAAGTTTTCAAGGTTTCCTACATTAGTTATTTTGAATTCTCTCATAATATAGATTGCAGTATCTGCTCTTTTCTCATTGTCTGAAACTGTTCGATAAATAAACCTCTCCAAACCCCTTTCTGAGAGCCTACTCTGCTCTGATTGGTCAGATGACCCAGTCTGTCGTGATTGGTCTCACAGCACATGTTGGAAACAAAATGCCCATCTATTTTTGGCTGGATGGTTCCTTAAGAAATTCACCAGATCACATGTAGACATTTGTTTATTAATATTATAGCAGCATTTTGTTAACATCAATAACCCATTGAGTCTAAAAACTTGTATTTAGAGCACAATTTATTTTATTAAGCAAGAGTAAGGCAGATATTCTTTAAATATTGTTGATGTGCTACTGTGAATAAAGTTGATCATGCTTTTATATCAACAGGTGAGGCCTTGGACATTTATCAGATTATAGAAATCACCAAAGGGTCTTTGGCCAAAGGAAAACGACAAGGCACAAGGTGAAAGTAATTTATGTCATGAAAGAATAAACGCTGGTCATGTGAACTGTCCCAACACAAATGGCCGTCCCTAGTACGAACTCAGAAAAGGGTGGTGTTCTCCTGTGAATGAGGGTAATAAAGTGCAAAAGAAGGACTACTAAGTTTTTTTTTTTCACTGCTTCCTCCTCTTTTTCTTTGGCGCTTGGTTTTCCTCCAAAGGCTGAGAGTCATTAGTCTAAGGAAAGAAAGACACCATTGAAGATGAAGAAAGCAATCCCAGAGCTCAATTCTGAGAATGAACGTGTTTAAAGTGGATACTCCACTTTTTTTGGAAACAGGCTCATTTTACAACTCCCCCAGAGTTAAACAGTTGAGTTTTACTGTTTTCAAATCCATTCAGCCGATGTTCTGATATTTAGAAGAATATCAGTAACCAGACAGTTTCTGGTCTCATTGACTTTCATAGTAGGAAAAAAATATACTATGGAAGTCAATGAGACCAGACTGGTTACTGATATTCTTCTAAATATCAGAAAATCGGCTGAATGGATTAGAAAATGGTAAAACTGGGGGGGGAGTTGTAAAATGAGCCAATTTCCAAAAAAAGTGGAGTATCCCTTTAAACTAAGACGCACCTGTTGGCTTTGGTCCTGCTGCTGTTCCTGTAGTGCAGCTTCCAGCGTGGCCGTGTTGATTCTGAAGTCTCTGGATGTGCTCAGCTTCATGTACTGCATCAGATTGACCTGTGTCAAGACATTTACAGATGTGCTGTAATGTTTCAGAGGATTTTGTTACATTTGTTGTTGTATATGCTGTGCATATGGGCAAAGACTTAAGAGATGTTACCTTGGATTTCTTGGAGAGAAGAATGAGAAACTTCTCATACTGTTCAATGTTGAAAATGAGATTCGGGATGGCTTTAGTCTCACGAAGAACTTTAGCCTAGAAATCACATTAGATGCACAAAACGGTTTTGTGTGGATTTTGCACTCAGAGGACTAAATATGTTACCAAATATATTTTCATAAAAAAAAAAATGCATCTATTTTTCAGTCTCAGGTAATAAATTAAAAAATAGTTCTCACTGAAGCAGCTGCTACTGCATCATCTTCTTTTTTCTTCTTCTTCAACTTTTCCGGGCCTCCAGCCGTCAGTTCTCCACTCTGTACGAGACAACATTTACTAATGTGTTAAGACACTGTTGTAAAGGTTAAACACCAAACTGAAAGAAAATGGGCACACACCTGTACATATGTGATGAAACAGTAACACTGGGGAGTGAGATGAGACCCTGACAGCTTCACCTGGACACAAGAAATGTTTGAGTTGTTAAATTACAAAATTTAGTCATTTAGGTTGAATCTGGATCTACAAGAAATGCCTTGAATATAATTTTTTTTTTAGTTTTGTGCAAAAGTTGCTGAATCTACTTGGCAATAATGGCTGTTTGGACAAACTGATGGTTCCTTTGGTGTGAAATGGTTAAAAGTTTTGTTTTTTTCACAAATGTTGAGAGAGATTAAATTGTTCAATACATCCTTGCATCATTTCAAGATAAATGTTGTAACTAACTGGCATTAAATGTCAATGTTTGGTAAGATTTTAAAATGTATCTGAATTCTGAAATGCGTCTTAAATACCGTAAAAACTAATATTGTGAAATATATTATTACAATTTTAAAAAACTATTTTTCATGTGATGACAAAGCTGAATGACTCTTACTTTATCTGTCACCTGATACTTTAGAAGTCATTTTAAAATGCTGATTTGCTGTTTAAGAAACTTTTTTAATATAATATCAATAACTAGTATTAGTTTAACTAGTATTAGACTCTATATGACACAAGTGAAAACAATCATTTAAATACCACACTTAAATTGTTCGTTCTTGCCACCCTCTATACTTTAAAGAATCAGAAAAACCTTACCAGTTTCTCCAAACGTGCGGGGAACTGCCCAGGTTGGGTCGCACACAGCTGAATATACTGAAAAATAAATGATTGTCAACTTTGCAGCACTTTTAAATGTTTGTGTGAAACTCTGAGCTGTAAAGATTTCCCAAATCAAAAAGACTGAATTTGAGATTATGAATCTTACAAAGGATGAGACTCACATATTTGGTAAATGTAGTGAGGAAGTTGTAGGTTCGACTGAGCTCTCTCATTAGGGTGTCCGTACAGGGTCCCGTGGGCAGAGCGGTCTGAACCAGCTCATGCAGAGCCGTTACCAGCGTGCCTAACTGAACCGTGACGGCCTTCTCGATTGGGTCCTGCTGGCCCAGTGGATGCTGGGTATTTCCTAATACACACAGAAAATCTGACATAATAATTCTCTTTATCCTAAATCAGGGGGCGTGTGCAAACACACCTGAACCAGCTGAATTTGAAACACGTCCTTGCATACTACTTAATGCTATTCCTAAACCATTATATGGCAGAAATAGTAAGGGTAGTATGCTATTCCAAATTCAGCAACTGTCTTATGAGGCCTAAACTGTGGAACTGTGGCCATACACCCCTGTCCTAAATTAGGGAAATCCTATCCTGGTCCTGGATGGCTATAATCCTAATTAAACACACTCGAGGAAGCTATTCACGGTCTTCAGGATTGCTTGCAACTTCTAGGCAGGTGTGTTGGAAGCCTTTCGGGAAAAAGACTGGACACCTAATGAGATTTTTGTTGCTTTTTACCTGAAATTGTTCGGTCGGAGCTTATCTGGCCTTTCTTCTTGGCGATCAACCAGTCTACTTCATCCAACACCTTTCCAACCTGAGACAGGACTAGAAGCTGCAAAGGAAGAGAGGCAGATGCTACGCTCTTTTAATAAGTTTCTAGTTCAGTTTCTGAAGTGTCTCTGTTCTTACCGTGGTGGATGCAGCTGTTTTCATGCTAATGATGGCAAGATGAGATTGTTTCTCCACCTCTACGTCCTGATCAGAAACAGATTTATGACATCATATGACATGAGATTTTTGGGGAGGTTTATGACAATTTTACTGCCTTGAGATCCGAACACACTTGAGAGATTTCATTGGTTTTAGAAGAGCCACAGTACCTGGTCGATGTCTCCTAGCTGGCTGTGTATGTCTTGGCACATCTCCCAGAGCAGAGACACTGGGCTTTTATGCAGGACATGCAGGTTGAACAGCAGGGACAGCAAGCCTTTAGTGAGAGAGATGTCCTCTGAAAGAGAGAACAGGGTGAAAGAAGGGTTGGTTACAAAATTAAGCAGCAGTGTGAATACTGTGATTGTAGCCCTCAAACCGTATTCACTTTATAGCCCTTAATCCTGTAATTGTGAACAAATGTGGCCACAGAGGACTCAGGTATGATCCTAATTTTTATTTATTATAAATGTTATATCACTGTCTTCGATAAAGTTTTGTCTATCCATTTATGGTGTTTGTTTTTATTTTGGGGGTGTTTTTGAATTTATTTACTTGTATTTCTACAAACCCAATTCCATAAAAGTTGGGACACTGTACAAATTGTGAATAAAAACAGAATGCAATGATGTGGAAGTTTCAAATTTCATTATTATATTTAGAATACAACATAGATGACATATCAAATGTTGAAAGTGAGACATTTTGAATCGCCATGCCAAATATTGGCTCCTTTTGGATTTCATGAGAGCTACAAATTCCAAAAAAGTTGGGACAGGTAGCAATAAGAGGCCAGAAAAGTTAAATGTACATATAAGGAACAGCTGGAGGACCAATTTGCAACTTATTAGGTCAATTGGCAACATGATTGGGTATAAAAAGAGCCTCTCAGAGTGGCAGTGTCTCTCAGAAGTCAAGATGGGCAGAGGATCACCAATTCCCCCAATGCTGAGGCAAAAAATAGTGGAGCAATATCAGAAAGGAGTTTCTCAGAGAAAAACTGCAAAGAGTTTGAAGTTATCATCATCAACAGTGCATAATATCATCCAAAGATTCAGAGAATCTGGAACAATCTCTGTGCATAAGGGTCAAGGCCAGAAAACCTGCCATACTGAATGCCCGTGATCTTCGGGCCCTTAGACGGCACTGCGTTACACACAGGAATGCTACTGTAATGGAAATCGCAACATGGGCTCAAGAATACTTCCAGAAAACATTGTCAGTGAACACAATCCACCGTGCCATTCACCGTTGCCGGCTAAAGCTCTATAGATCAAAAAAGAAGCCATATCTAAACGGGAACCAGAAGCGCAGGCGTTTTCTCTGGGCCAAGGCTCATTTAAAGTGGACTCTAGCAAAGTGGAAAACTGTTCTGTGGTCAGACGAATCAAAATTTGAAGTTATTTTTGGAAAACTGGGACGCCATGTCATCCGGACTAAAGAGGACAAGGACAACCCAAGTTGTTATCAGCGCTCAGTTCAGAAGCCTGCATCGCTGATGGTATGGGGTTGCATGAGTGCGTGTGGCATGGGCAGTTTACACATCTGGAAAGGCACAATCAATGCTGAAAGGTATATCCAAGTTCTAGAACAACATATGCTCCCATCCAGACATCGTCTCTTTCAGGGAAGACCTTGTATTTTCCAACAAGACAATGCCAAACCACATACTGCATCAATTACAACATCATGGCTGCGTAGAAGAAGGATCCGGGTACTGAAATGGCCAGCCTGCAGTCCAGATCTTTCACCCATAGAAAACATTTGGCGCATCATAAAGAGGAAGATGCAACAAAGAAGACCTAAGACAGTTGAGCAGCTAGAAGCCTTTATTAGACAAGAATGGGACAACATTCCTATTCCTAAACTTGAGCAACTTGTCTCCTCAGTCCCCAGACGTTTGCAGACTGTTATTAAAAGAAGAGGGGATGCCACACAGTGGTAAAAATGGCCTTGTCCCAACTTTTTTGAGATGTGTTGATGCCATGAAATTTAAAATCAACTTATTTTTCCCTTAAAATTATGCATTTTCTCAGTTTAAACATTTGTCATCTATGTTGTATTCTAAATATAATATTGAAATTTGAAACTTCCACATCATTGCATTCTGTTTTTATTCACAATTTGTACAGAGTCCCAACTTTTATGAAATTGGGTTTGTATGTAAATGATTTCTAAGTAAATTAATTACTATGTAGTTTTATTATTTAAATTTTTTAACTAGATTAAAATATCATTCCAAGTTCTTAGAGCTAAAACCTAAAGATGA